TTCCACATCTTTCGATTTCCGCGATCTGGTAAAGGGGAGATTGATGTGTATCTTTTTATGTTCAAACATGAGTCAGATCACTATGCGCTTTTTTGTCACGATCCCTTGTCATACCTCGCTATCCATGTGTCATCATGCATGAAGTTGTAGATGAATCACTGCGTAAAATATGTCACTATCAATAGAATGTGCCGCAGCATTATTATCTTTTAGATACCCTAGTTTTAGAAAATACTCTGTATATGAAAGCGCTTGCTACAGGCTACATACTTCTATCAAACAAGATAAGACCAGAGCGAGTTTTCTGTTAGTTGTTTTAGCATAAACCACTGACCGTACTTTGAAGCCGGCAAATAATAATAATAATGTCACAAACTCACGAAACCATTTTTGTAGTGAATCTCATTGTACGTTTTGTACCTGACAGTAGTTACAAACACAGGACTAGCACGAGCTCTGACGTAATGAAAGCGCGAGCAAAGGGTATATTTCCGCGAATGAGTCCACAAGCTACCCAAGCTTACAATGCGAGGAGTTATCATTTTTTATATCTATTTTTTTTTTTTACTTTTATGCGAACGTTCAGCGAAACGTGATATATAAATGTCACGTTTCGCTGAACGTTGGCATAAAAGTAAAAAAAAAAAAGATAACTCCTCGCTTCGTGAGCTTGGGCTGCCTGTGATGAGTCAAGACGGAATATCAATAGGTCGTTTTCACGTGGCGTCATCAAATTTCAAAATCCAAAACTAAAGAGTCACGAAAATTTTTATCCTTATAAGGCATAAGGGGATCTCAATTTATATCTGTTTACAACTTTTCAGCTCAATAGCGTGCTTGGTTTGGAAACCGGCGCCGTTTGAAGTTCAGAGTTATGGCGGTGCCTGACATACCGCTTCGATCGCATTTGTGGAAAAATATACACTTATCTATTGATTTTTTAGCCTTTCTAGAAGTTAAAGTGTTAGGAAAACTGCTTTTGTAAATGTTTGTTGGTTCAGTTCAGATAATTAGTCGCCTACATAGCCAAAGTAAGTTCCAGACGTTTGCGCTATATTCCGGCCGCCATGTTGGTGGAGCACAGAGTTCCACCAACATGGCGGCTCCATACTGGGCTCTGTAAATTTGCGCAAAACATTTCGACGAATATCTGAAGTNTTTTACCTGTCTCCTATAATATTAAAATTTCTTGACTTAATCAGTCCTTATTCGGGCACTATGTAACATGAAGCTGACTGAAATGATTTAGCTGTGAGCCATTCTAATCGGAAGATAAACGATTTAAAATGTTTACAATGTCGAAACCACAAAGTAAGAAATCCCAGAAATTCTAGCATGGCTACCGAGTATGAGCACTGGCGGAGAATTCATTCAATTGCTGACTTAGCTTGATTTTATATTTTGTTCCTCATCCCAATACAATGACAGCCGTTCTAGCGTTGAGTTGTACTCATCCTCGAAGACACAGGGGCAGCTAGTCGGGACCACGCGATATTTAATTTTCAGGCGAAAGTTTATATCAAGAGCGGTAGAGCCCCTGGGCACTTACTCTTACTCGTCAGT